AGGGGGAAGAAAAAAACAAGGAGGGAATTGGTTATGGATGGATTTGAGCGACGACGAAGAACAAATATGGGATTAATGGAAGAAAAAGAAAGGAGGATTGGCACTCGATGAACCCTAACTGGAGGGCGGCTCCTTGTTGGGCCAAGTTTGGGCCTAGGCTGCCACTTTAATAATTGGAAATGGTCCACTTTATCAACTGTGTTCAACAACTATATTGAATCTTCTATTAATCTACGGAAAATTCAACTTAAATCCCTAATACTACTTTCAACTTCCAGTTCAGTCCCCTCCCTAATATATTTCCTCTGCACTCCCTTTCCTTAATTTTCTCTTTCCATTTCACTCTCCATATATATACAACTCTTATTATTATTCATTTATTTTTCTCTAAAATCATAAAAAGTTATCGTCTCTCTCTGTGACACATCTTCCTCGCCCTTCTTTCTCTCTCTCTATTCCCGTCTCTCTCTCTCTCTCTCGCCGGTCTCTCAATTCCCGTCTCTCTCTCTGAAAATTCCAATTGTCGTCGCCTTTCTTTCTCTCCTTATTTCCGTAGGACCTTCGTCTCCCTCTGAAAATTCCATCTCCATCGCTGAACACGATCCCCCTCCCATCCATCCGGGAAGCCCTCCGTCTCCGACCAAAAATCCACGAAAAATTGCAGAACAAAAGAAAAAAAAAAACGCAACAGACTCTTCAAAATCCTCAAATCCCCAAATCCTCGAAAAATCTTATACCAACTCAAACTTGTTTTTTTTCTTTAAATCCCCAAATCCTCGAAAAATCTGATCCCAACTCAACTTTTTTTTTTCTTTCAATTGCTTGTTTTTCCTTTCAATTGTAATCTGACAGAAGGTGATTGGAGCTGTTTCGATGGCCTCTGGCACAAATTCTTTGCAATCGAAGAAACCGGCGGAGGGAAGGAGATTGAGGCAAAGGCGTGGCGCCTTATAGTGGCCACGGAGTTCGAGCCTTCAGGCTAAAAAAAAAAATTGTGAGACAAATAGGCCTGCAGTACTAGCCCTTTTCCAGGTGCTTGCTCTCTCATAATCACTGCGATTCTCTGAAGAAGCTGGAAAAAGAAAAATTAGCCTCTGCAAATGGCTCTGTGATCAAACTTGTGAGTTTGTTTCTTAATTATTTTTTTTCTTTTTGTTTTTTAAGTTCTCGAAAACTTTGTTTGCTGGTATGATATTACTTATTAGTTGTTTTTCCTACCTTATTTTTTATAATGTCAGTAGTATTTTTTGTTGCATCTATCTTTGTGGGTTGTTTAATTAGGTGGGATTTGATGGAATTTGTTCGGCGTTGAATATTTTTTTGTTATTAATATTTTTATTTTCATGTTGAATGTTTTATTTCTTAGTTTGGTGTGTATTTGTTGTTATGAGTTGGAACTCTGAAAACAAGATCTGGTCTAAGTATGGCCTCTGTACACTTGAAGCTTTCTTTTTGTTTTTATTTTTTTGTCATTTTCTTTTGTGTCTACATTTATGCTTGCCATCACTTACTAATCTCTTAGATTATGTGTTATTTGGACTTATAGTCAATAGTTTTGTTGATTTGTGGTACTAGTATCTAGAGAATCCAAAAGGGTTACCAACAAAAAAAAAATGGCATCTTTAAAGGTTTTTTTATTTTCGACATCGGCATCTTCCAAAGCGGAAGAAGCCCCGAACCCCCCGCAGTTTCCCACGAAATCTCCGACGCCTGCGACGTGCTGTATGACTTCAACAATGGCATTAACTTCCCGTACGGGCCGGGCCCAGATGTATGGATCTCGATGCAGCATCCCCATGTTAAGTATGATCCGCGTGCCTTTTGGTATCCGGTAGTCCATTAGGCGACAATCTTGGGCGGCCTCGTGTGGTGCGGATATTGGAGCCCGTGGGTAGAGTCGTAGAGATTCCTTGATTACAGCTTGGAGATAGTGTAGGTTGTCAATGTCCGATTCTTGGTCCCATCAGTGTTTGTCGATGTTCATTTCGATCTCGTGTTGAGCTCGATGAATGACAGTGGGGTGGTTAGTAATAGGGACAGAGTCCATGTTAGGTGGATTGATGTGGTGTCCGAGCCTGCTGAGATGAGGTTCTTCAAGGAAAAATGTGTGGAATTAGATCTAAAACTTGACAGATTCATATTTTCTCTTTGTATATGTTTGTTAACATAAAGGACCAAAGGTAGAGCAGAGAGCTATAAATGAACTTTGAGGTGTTCTCCAAATACTTTTTGGAGAGACAATTGTTTGCTTACAGACAGAATCTCACAATCTCGTCTTTGTTTTTATGGTTTAAGGATGAAGATTGTCATGAATTATGTTTTTTTTATTTATTTATTTTGGGATTAGGTCATGAATCATGTTTTTATGCGTGAACGATCTACATGGTAGACATAAAAGATTAGAGAAATCACAATTCTTAAAATAATACATGTTTTAGTCAATATAGTACCGCTTCTTCTTCTACGTGGTACCTATTTTTGATCAATTAGTACCACCTTCCGGTCAACGAATATGAATTATTCAGTTGTGGTCAACATTTGCAATAATTGTATCGGACCTAGAGTAAGATAGTACCACCTTCGGTCAACGAAAATGAATTATTCAATTGTGGTCAACATTTGCAATAATTGATATCGGACCTAGAGTAAGATAGTACCAGCTTTCAGTGTTTTAGTATCGGATATTTGGTCTTTAGTGCCAACTTCGATGAAAAAAAAAACACTAAATTTCGGTCTCAAATGATGTTTATATGACCAATAATCACTCTTACATTAGTTTGTATGAGATTTAAAATATTACAAATTGAGTTTAATCGTAAAATGGTCATGAACTCAACACACTAATAAGAAAACACTATATATTAATACACTTCATTTCATTGAATAACACACTCCATCTAATAGAAGCATCATACATGACTACTCTAAATTCTACCTATATGTTTTAACTTCCACTATTTTTCATCCAAATCACGCGTGAACGATTTACGTGTCATGGTAAACATGAAAGATTATAGAAATCACGATTCTTAAAATAGTACCTTTTTTAGCCAATATAGTACTGCATCGTCTTCTACGTGATACCTGTTTTTGATCAATTAGTACCAACTTTTGGTCAACGAAAATGGATTATTCAATTATGGTCAACATTTGCAATAATTGGTACCAGACATAGAGTAAGATAGTACCATCTTTTGGTGTTTTAGTACCAGATATTGGGTCTTTAGTACCACTTGTAATGAACACATAAAGAGACCGAATTTCGGTCCCAAATGATGTTTATATGACTCATAATCACTCTCACATTAGTTTATATTAGATTTGAAATATTTTTAATTGAGTTTAATCGTAAAATGGTCATGAACTCGACATACTAATGAGAAAACACTACTAATACACTTCATTTCATTGAATGACACACTTCATCTCATAGAATCATCACACAGGAATACTCCAAATTCTACATATTTGTTTTAACTACAACTATTTTTCATCCAAATCAAGTTATAACGATCCACATGAAAAGGTAGACATGAAGGATTAAAACAAATTACGATTTCTAAACTAGCACCAGTTTTTGCAATAATAGTACCCCATATTGTTCTATGTAGTACCAGTTTTTTAGCGATTAGTACCTACTTTTTTGAAGAGAATGGATTATTTAAATTTTACTCAACATTTACAAAAAGTAGTACCAGACCTAGAGAAAGATAGTACCACTTTTGTATTGTAGTAGTACCTGATATTGGGTATTTAGTACCACTTGTAATGAACACATAAAAACACCAAATTTCGGCATCGAATTATGTTTACATGACCCGTAATCACTCTCACATTGGTTTATATGAGATTTCAAATGTTTTTAATGAGTTTTATCCTAAAATGGTCATGAACTCGACACACTAATGAGAAAACACTACTAATACACTTCATTTCATTGAATGACACACTTAATCTCATAGAATCATCACACATGACTACTCCAAATTCTACATATTTGTTTTAACTTCAACTATTTTTCATCCAAATCAAGCTAGAACAATCCACGTTAAAAGGTAGATATGAAGAATTAAAAAAAATTACGATTCCTAAACTAGCACCAATTTTTGCAATAATAGTACCACATATTGTTCTACGTAGTACCAGTTTTTGAGCGATTAGTACCTACTTTTTTGAAGGAAAATTGGTTATTTCAATTTTACTCAACATTTACAAAAAGTAGTACCGGACCTAGAGAATAATAGTACCACTTTTGTATTGCAGTAGTACCTGATTTTGGGTATTTAGTACCACTTGTAATGAACACATAAAAACACCAAATTTCGGCCTCGAATGATGTTTACATGACCTTCAATCACTATCACATTGATTTATATGAGATTTAAAATGTTTTTAGTTGAGTTTAATCGTAGAGTGGTCATGAAGTCGACACACTAATGAGAAAACACTACTACTACACTTCATTTCATTCAATGTTACACTTTGATATAGCCACATAAGGATAACCCGATCCAGAAGCTCCTTGCTTAACCAGTGAACCACTTAAACTACCCGCAGTCGACATGACTCCGTCGACATGCCCAAATCGACTTCCCTAGGGTCGGTTCTGCCAAGAGCAATTAAGAAGAAGCAGAAATTGGTCTAGTCGACTCTTGCCAGTCGACTTCAATACATCGACTTTCACTAATCGGCACCAATGAAGGAGTAGCAGCAAGAGTACAGCGCCCAAGCATCCTGATACCCTAAGTCGACTTCCGACAGTCGACTGAACCAAGATGACCTCGCCACTAAGGATTAGTCAAGCGTAGCCTCCGAATCCTCGCATATCCACGAGTCGACATCCTATCTCTCGAAGTCGACCTCGCATACCTCGACTAGCACAGATATGATGACGACTCATCATACTTGCACCATACTTGAAGTTCCATATACCACAAAGGATAAGAAGGGATCTTGTGATGACTCAGCAATAGGGGAAGACGGATCGACCGGGGCATTTTGGACCTTCTAGGTCCACCGACTGGGACATTCTGGGTACTCCAGGTAAATATTCACTCATATATAAAGGAGGTGAGGTAACCCTAAAACCCCAACTCTCATTCATTCCCACTCTCCCCCATAGCTGCTGCGCAGCCTCTCTTCATCACTCTCATACTGACTTGAGCGTCGGAGGCTCTACGCCGGAAACACCTCCGGCGTTGAGTGTTTGCAGGTATTCTTGCGGTCTAGCAACGATTTCAAGGCGGTTCAAGCAGATCTGAGCTTACAACCACCGGTTTACTTTAGATCTAGAAGTAGACCCATCATTTGGCGCCGTCTGTGGGGAGTTCTTAAAGGAAGGAAGAGCTTCACACCCAGCTCCGATCTGTTTGCCAATGGCGGAGAAGGAGAGCTTGCAGAGGAACCTGAGTGAGGAATTCAGAGGGACGTGGATGGACAAGAGGCCACCACCACTTCCCACCACCAAACACCCCGTAGTTCAGATGACGGGAATGCCACCAGTCGGAGGCCACCACCACTTCACCACCACTCCTCGAGTCCCCTAGACACGTCCGGGCTCATTATCCCATTCCACGAGGTGGCTCGGGATAAGAAGAGCCTAGTCCGTACCTCCTCGCGAACTCACATTTTATTCTTCTTCTTTTTTTTTTTTAAGGGAGTGGCACAAACGTACATCATATAAACACATAATCGATCGAGATGCACTACACTAAATAGCATAACACGTTTACAACAATAATCGAGCATAAGGTAAGCATATCTCAAGTCAATCAATCAAGAACAACAAGGGATAAAACAATTCCTTGAATTCTCATGCGGGTTCCACATTTAACAAACTATCATCCAATTCAATGGTACCATCTAAATCATCAAGTTCATAAAGCACGAAAGTTAACAATGACGCCAATCAACATACTTATCTCACCATTTAACCATTTTGGGCCTTTAAACGCACATCAAGTATCATGAATGGGGAATCGACACAAACACATAAAAACACAAACAAAACCGGTCCAAGACACAAAAAATAAAGCACCAAAAACGAAAGAAGCACCGCCTAAATATGCATAATCATGAAATCCCTCCCCCACACTTAAAACAAAGTAATGTCCTCATTGCTTGACCCAAAAAGCATGGAATAGAGCACATAATCACACAAACTCATGCTATAAAAGAAAAAGAACAAAAGAAACGAGCAAACAAAAGCAAGAAAACACCAAGACACACAAGAAACAACGAAGAGAAACGGAAAATAAGAAAAGAAAATGCGTACTCTACACGGTAGTGCACCACCGTGTGTCAAATGGTGTTTGTCCGGAGGAATATAGAAACAATCCTTAAGCCATCGAGTGCAAAATAAAGCCATCCGAGTGAGGCCATATGTAGTCTCGGAGGGATAGTGACCGGGAATCCACAAACTCGACGAAGACACAAGTATGCGTGAAAACTTGAAAATTAGGCCTTTAGCCCCATAATAATACTCGTCATGGCATAACCCGACCAACTTGTCAATCAAAGCATAGCCTCAAGCACAACCGAACACCAATGATATAGTGAAATTCAAATCAAACGCCAAAGTTCACCGCTTTCCCCAAAATAATCAACGATAACTCCGAACGAACCTCACACCGAAAGACAATAGCCGAAATCCTCCAAATTTTCAATATAAGCTCTCAAACCCCCGATACACCTCCCTCACACTGGTATATATCACCTCCAACTCAATAAAGTCACGCCCAATTCAATACAAATGCCACATGTAGGTTTAAGTGAAATACCTTGCAAAACGATGATCTCGGCACCAAGAGTAAGCAAAATCGGGCAATGAGTCGTGTCCAA